CTGCTCATGCCCAGCCTGGGTTGATGCTGGGATTGCCCTGATCCAGGGGCAGCTCCAGCCCTTGGCCTTGTTGAACCTCAGGAGATTCCCAGGGGCCACTTCTGGAGCTTGTCCATCTGGATGGTCCCATCCTCCAGGTGTGTCCCTGCACCCCCAGCTCGGTGTCACCTGCAAACCTGCTGGGGGGGGGCCTTGATCCCTTCATCTGTGTCATTGATGAAGATATTAAATAACACTATTGTGTGATCCCAAAACAGACCCCTGGGAGACACCACTTGTCCCTGGTGTACCTCAGGACTCTGAGTCATGGACCACCCCCTGGAGTCCACAGGGAGCTCTTCCCCAGCTGCTGCCCTTTGTGCTGCCCTGGGCAGGGAGCAGAACTTTCAGAAAGTTCCCTCTAAGCCCTCAAACGAAGTTAAACTCATTTCAAAGTCAGAAGTTTCGCTGGTAGACTCCCAGCAGAAAAACCTCTGCTTGGGCACAGAGCAATCTGGGCACTCATCTGCTGCTGGGCACAGAGCTGAGCACTCCACTGGGCAGGGGGAAATGAGGCATCAGAAACCTCTGCAGCTCATCCTGGCAGATGGAAGCCATCCTTTGGTGGGCTGGGGACTGGGAAAAACGTGTGTGGCCATTAGAAATCTCAGCTGGATTTCCAAGGACAGGAAGGATGAAGGGTCATTCCCTGTGGCTGCTGAACCAAAAGAGTCCTTTAAACATCAGAAAACCTTTGTGCCAGCTTTAGGGACACGAATAAACCCTTCCAGCCCCACCAGCCCAGTAAAGGTGAGGGGTTGAGCTCTTTTTCTGTAGGGGGGCTGGTCCTGTGTTTTGGGGGAAGTGGTTCCTGGAATTCCTGTTCTTATAAATGAGGAAAAAAATCTACTAATTAATTATGGCTTTAAGTCTTCCTGCAGGCAGGAGCCTCCACTGCTGCAGGGTATCCCATCAGGAGCAGGTGGGTTCAGTGTCCCACCTCATGGGGATGAGTGTGATAAATACCTGCCCATGGAGGAACTTGGGGCAGCAAAGAAAAAAAGGCTCAGTTCCCTCCCAGCAGCTGCTTTTTAAGGGGTTATTTCTAAGCCCCAGCTGAGAATTTGGCCCAAGTGCTTTGGTTCCCACTTGGAGCCAAGATCCTGCACAAGGCAGGGAAAATAATAACCTGGGCTCCAGGGGCTCCTAAACTGCCAAATGTTTACTTGGAAGCCATGCAGGAATCACCACCTGGAACAGCCACCCTGGGCCTCTGAGTCAAGTGTTTTTCCTCCAGCAGAAGGGGGAATAACAGAGAGAGAGAGACCCCACAACCCTGAGAGCCTTCCAGGGGAGGAGTCTCTTATTTCAGTCACATCTGGTGACTCTGAGCCCTGATGGGTAATAGCTCCCCAAATGTCTTTCCTGCCTATTTTAATTCCAGCTTTTATTGATATAGGCAAGTGTTTCACAGTTTCAAGAGCCCAGGCAGGGACTAATTCCTTATTGTGCTCCTCAGCAATCACAGCCAGGAGGGAACAGCAGTGGAGTGGGGACAAGCTGAGCTGTGCTGAGCTGCAGAACTGGCACCAGCACCAAAATGGGGGTGACAACTGGCATCCTGAGGGTGGAACAGACACCACGAGGTTGTTTCCTGCCTGGAAAATGTGCTCAGAGCCTCATCCCAGGAAAACTGGCCCAGTGGTGGAGCTCTGCATGGCAGAGTGGGAGCTGAGCTCCCACGGGGATCTCTGGCACAGGCAGGAGCTTCCTGCAGAG